AAGCTAGAGATGGGAGCAACCCATTACATCACCGCGGCTGGCTCAGTGCCTGTGGAGGATAGTTCATGGAAAAAACCAGCAGTGAGAGTAGTGGAAAACAGTAGAAGATTTCAACTTTGATTTCATTAAAGCAGAACTGTTATTATAAATGTGCACAAAAACTACGAAGAGAACAGGATACATTTTATGCTGCCATCAATCTTTAACACTGAACTCAGTACAAAAGCCCTCTGGCACAGAGAGACTGGGACTGTCACTTTCAGTAACTCATCTATTTTGGCAGCTCCCACTTACCACTGGGCTCAGAGAAGATAGCAGCAAATCTTTTTTTATTGGTTAACCTGAAAACATTCACCTGTTGCATTATTTGCACTGTTAAAGGAATGTTTGCAGGCTAACAGTGGATTTAATTTACAGCTTTTAAAGAACAAGAGGTGATAAGAATACAGCAGGACAGACTTTCAGAGCTGGGTGCAACAGATGCATGAACAAAAATACATGTGCACTCTCTGTGCATGCAAATCGCCATACAGCCAGACAAGGACTCTTGTGAGAGAGTACCTCAATCCTCAAGCAGTCCAATTTATTTCATTGGGACGACTTGAGGAGCAAATTACTACTCACTGGGAGTAAGGGTGTCACAGTCTGGTCATATGGGAGTGTAAAACTGCATACCGATAGCAGTGGGGGGAGGGATAGCTCAGTGGTTTGAGCATTGGCCTGCTAAACCCAGGGTTGTGAGTTCAAGCCTTGAGGGGGCCACCTAGAGATCCTTGAGGGGGCAAAATCGTACTTGGTCTTGCTAGACAGGGGGCTGGACTTGATGACCTTTCAGGGTCCCTTCCAATTCTAGGAGATAGGTATATCTCCATATATTATATTATAACTATGCACCTTGTGGTGCACAGTTACCTGATTAATGCACCAAAATGGCAGTTACACAAACACGAACAAAGGGCCATGCAAGTAATAGAGGTCTGTGCATTTTTGCAAGGGAATTAGTCATGCCATTGCCCCATCCAGAAAAGGTGGCTGTATGTATTTAATATGCTCTTTCACATAAGTAAAAGATGTATTTTGAAATCAGTAGCAGGGAAGACTATTCTTTATATTAAAATGTCAGTTAGTAATGATGCCAATTCTTTTATGCATCACTTCCTGTCTTTTAAACAAGGGAAGTCGGGAGTCTGTCTCACACTTACTTCAGCTAATCTTGAGTGTTTGTGCACCACCTCAGCTTTGTTCATTGGCGTTAGCTGCTGCAGAACACTTCGGCTGTTAGTCAAAGCTCGTGTCAATCGAGCAAACTTTGTCCAACCTGTGAGGAAGAAGAAAACGTGCAAGTTGGATTTAGTTACGATTCAGCAAGTGCAAATCTCATTCATGTGGACTGATGTTAGTTTCAGATTTGAATGGTTTCTATCTCACTTACTGCACGCCATGGCATCAGACTCCAGACTTACATCCCCTGCAAAACAGAAAAATACCAACCTGTGCTGTAGATACCTCTGCTAATCATGAGTAAAAATGACTAAAACTAGCACACTTTGGCATTTGCTTTCTTTTGTGTTTTTGAGAGACAGACTATGCTGGTGTTGGAGCCAAATTCCAAGGCCACTGGAGTCAACAGAAAGACTCCCATTGATTTCAGGAGTCTTTGCATCAAGCCCATCTTGAGTACTGCTGCTGCAATCTGGAGAACTCTGCCAGGGGCTGATCCAAAGCCCAGTGAACCCAATGGACAGACTCCCATTGATTTATGAAGACTGGCTCAGGCCCTACATACCTAAAGTTGTCCCTTCTTTTACCCGCCTCCCACCCCCAAAAAAAGATTCAACACCAAAAATAAAACTATAGAAACAAAAAAAAAATACAAATTGAAATTAAAAGCATGTTGATATCAATGCTGCTGGATGAAAATTCATACAGGTCTCAAGAAGTCACTTAAAAATAGACTGAGGACTACATTGTAAAACACAGTTAAGAAATTAATTCAGTTGCTAAACTAATGATAAAGAGCTACCTTAAAGGTGGCTTGGGAGCCACACAGCAGGCTGCCACTGGTGAAACTGCTTTCATAATTCAGTGTGGCGCAGTCTTTGCTTTATCACTGATAGCAACACAACTTGGGAGCTGTGGCACTATGCCTTCCCAACCAAACAAATGCCAGGATGTTATAGTGGTCGGGTATGTGTAAATGGGTGAGAAGGAAAAGGGGTAAAAGAGAGGCAATGAAAATCCACGGCCCTTAAGCAGGATAGCATCCAAGCATTGGCCATAATGAAAATGAAGATCTTTCCCTCGGATGCTGGTGGGAAGGAAACACTCTGGAGTTACAACCAAATAGATGTAATTATTCTTTAAAAAAATCCTTGCTTTAATGTATGCATTTTTGTATTGTGTATACAAGTACATATGTTTGATGCGACAGTCACTTCCTTGCTAAGTTTCAAGTCCCTGCTCCAAAGCACATGAGCACTAGAGCATCTCAAATAAAAGGGACAACAGATTTTTTTTTTTAACATGGCAAAACAACATATTTGTCCCTAATCTCAATCGCAACAACTGCTGAACTAATTTAGCTAAAATTTCCCCACAAATTCTAACCTGATGGAGATGTTCTCCATGGAAAATTTCATCCCAAACAGTTGCAAGTTGGCAAAGTTCTAAGCAACTGAAAACAAAGTCTTATAATGGGACGTGTCAGGCAACCATAATAATAGGCAGTGCCACCAATTCTGCCTATAATATAGTACTAAGTATTCTATGACATATATACAACAACTGAAAACAGGGTCTTATAATGGGAAGTGTCTGGCAACCTTAATAATAGGCAGTATTACTTGCCCCCAACTATAATACTATATTTTAGTAGTGTGTTTTAAAAAATTATCATTATTAAACTACACATCCCTTCCTCTTTCTTAGTCACTATCAGTCCAACTCTAACGGTCTTAGAGAGGGCCACAGAAACAACCTAAAGGGCTTTTCTATAAATAAAAAACATCATACCTTTAAAGTCCTTTATCGCAGGAGCTTACAGGACTTGAAGGAAGTGTTGGATCCTGTTGTAAAAGTAGAAATCTCCCCACTTGCATAGTTTCTAGCTGGTCAAAAGGTGAAATACCAGACTTTAAAGGGTCAAATGCTTTCTCTGTACAGAAAAGCAGTTGCAGGTGAAAGATTTAATCTTGCCTAACGTGGGAATTGGGCAGGTGTAGTGTAGGGGGAAATTCCACATTTGGGAAAGGAAGAGGGAAACATTTATATGTTATGTTGATTCGTATTTTTAAATAGCAATTGTTTGAAGCCACTCAGGGATCTGGAATGTTAGGAGAGCCCCCCACTCCCGATTAGTGACCCAAAAGCATGTGGGATAGTCAAAGGTGCTTTACTTGTATATCGCTAAGTCGAAACTGCAGTGTAAAAATGCATAACATCCCTGAACTTTTATTGTTTAGTTATCCAACTATAAGCCTTAATTGTGAATTGCCAATAACATGATATGTTCTTTTTCTTTTCAATAGTTGTTGATATTCAATTAGGAACACGTACTCTGCTCTGTTAAACAATGTCAAAACAGATTTCACTGTTTGAGTATGAACTAATAATTTCTAGTGCAAAAATCTTCTGTTTTCTTTTGTTTTTAATTGCCCTACAGAATCAGCAGGAAAGAGGGACAAGGAAGAAGTAAATAAAAAATGTCAGAAGAGCTTTATCTTTCTTAACCAGTGATTTCAGAGAGCAGCTGGGCACATTAGTGGAATTATGACAACTCTATGCCGATGTTTCACATAATTGCTAGAGGCCATGATACACCACACAGATTCCATTCAGTACTTTCCAGTCACACCACAAGAACCACAGAAAAAGAGCAACTCTGTTCAGTGGTGGGATCACCCACCTGCATACAATTGTGAATATATGGCTATACAAACACATTGTCCATTCCCCCTGTATGGAACTTCCACTGGTATCAGTGGGAGTACACAGAGGTCAAGACTTAGGGCTTTTCTACACTACACAGCTTTTAGCAACAAGGCTGTGCCGATACAGCCTTTTTGCTAAAAAGTCAGCGCCTGTGAATGTCACTTTTGCCAACAAAATACTTCCAGCCCCGCGAGCGGCAGTAGCTTTGTCAGCAGGAGAGCGCTCCTGCCGACAAAGCTGCGTTCACACTGCCATTTACGTTGGCAAAACTTTTGTCTTTCGTGCTGGGGGTGGGGTGGGGGGCCTTTTTAAGTACCCATGAAAGACAGAAGTTTTGTCAACAACGTCGCAGTGTAGACAAGCCCCAAGTCTTTAGTCTGTAAGCATTTCCTACAACCCAGAGATTACAGGAACAGGAAGGTCATCAGTGAAGCCAAAACTGCTACTGCCAAATATCTGGACTCCATCCAGGATTCCTTCATTTGTCAGATTTATCTCAGCTTAGTCAGCTAGACAGAACTTTCTAACGGCAGATGGTCACTGAATCAAGATTTACTTTGTTCCCTGAAGTTCAGATCATTAATCTGCCTAGTGATTAGATGAGGATTTTTTTTTTTGGTACTATAGATGATAGGGAATGCCCCACAACTCCTTTTTTTGTCTCTCTTTCACGTAGCACCTTCAATACGTGATGAATTGCTGGTGGTCTCCATTTAAGAGAAATTTGGATTTAAAAATACCTCCCCGTTGCAATCAGAAAACTGGTGAGAAATTCCTAACAAAGCCATGGATAAGAAAATCATCTGTTCTGTACTCTGTATTCACCACGAATAGGTGATGCCTAGAGCAATCCTCTGGGGAAGACATATACTCATTCAACCCCTTTTTGTATAAGACAAACACAATAATAGTGCACTTTTAGCTCTAGGGGAAAAGGCAGGAAAAATATAGCTTTTAAAATAAATTCATCTTGGCAAGTTTATCCAATGACACATGAAAGACATCAACCAAATTTTGATTCATAGATTTGGAGGCTAGATGGGACCATTGTGATCTACTAGCTTGACCTCTTTCATGACACAGACCATAGAATTTCACCTAGTGCTTCCTGCATCAAAGCCCATAGCTTCTGGTTGCACTAAAACCGATCTTTTAAAAAAATCCAATCCTGATTTAATTTCTCAAATTCTGTGCTGACTTCTACCTTGTAAAGTTCTATCAGAGCCATGGGTTTGCTCGGGAAGGAAAACGGTATATAAGATGGCCTAGAGTGACCCTACAATAAATCAAAATGAGGTCCCGCATACGGTTTTCATCTAATCTAATCTATCTGGCTATGATGTTATTGAATAAACGCCAAACTCATATATGCAACCTAATAAAGTCACAGCAACTGCAAGGTACTGGGGTCTGAGTGGAAGACGAGAATGAATTCAGGCTGTCTTGTTCTTCTTTTGCATCTTAAATAATCATTACAGGATAAACGACAGTATTTCTTGACACTGTTGTAGACTAGCTAAATGCAGAATTATATTTAAAAGCTGTGTGTGTTTAAATATGCAAGACACTATTTGCATGACTGGCTAGTGCTGTCAATGAGCCTTCAAATGTCACCCAATTTATTCCTTCTCTTTCCTACTTCAATATAGCACAGACTTAAAAAGAATGATTATTTTATCATGTGTGTGAGTGACCTCCTGTCCTAGCAGTTATTCTCACTGTGGGAGGAGTGCAGAAGCTGCACAGATTTCAGACGTAACACAAAGAAAGAATGTTCTATAGGAAAAAGAAAGGTCTGCGTCCTGCTCACACAGCTCCATCTGAAAAGCCTGACGTTGAGTTATCCCATTCAAGTTGCTAGGAACATAGGAAATACCAGACCAGACCTGAAGTTGATCCTGTCTCCAACAGTGGCCAATACCGAGTGCTTCAGAGGAAAATGAAAAAAAGCCAGAAGACAATTTGGGGGATAACCTGCCCATAAGAGAAGTTTTTTTTCTTAAATTAGTTTCTGGTCCATGCACTGTGTGATGCTGTATGATTAAAGATGAGTATTTATATCATTGATATTACCACTGTTATACATTTGCAACAGATCTTGCACAAAGTGTATCATGTAAGGTGTCAATGGAAAAGTTATAATCTATCAAGTGTGATTATCCTGATTAAATCCATGCATCATCTTTGTATCTGAAGTTACGAATATTGGCTATTATTTGTATCTCCAGCATGTGTTTTGTTCCTGGGTGACAGCCTCCAGATAGCTGTCTAGCCCTGATGCAAATGTATGTGTTGATGGCCCATGAAGGACACTCCACTCCCACAATGGGCCATCGAAGAAACTCACCCAACCAAATAGCTCTTCCTGTGGATACCTCATCCAGCAAG